CTACCCCCACCTCCACTGCACACTTAATCTCCGTTACTTGTCACCCCCTGGCCCTACCTACAGCTCCTCAAGGACTTGTCTCAAAGAGCTGTGTTTCCCTCTTGCTCCTGTTCTTTCTCTCCTCAGTCATCTGTGAAACTGTCCCCTAATCCTAACCCAAGTCCCTACTACCCAGGCGGTGGCTGACATGTTGCGTGAGAATCGTAGCCTCCAGAGCCTGAACATTGAATCCAACTTCATTAGCAGCACAGGGCTCATGGCTGTGCTGAAGGCAGTTCGGGAAAATGCCACGCTCACTGAGCTGCGTGTAGACAACCAGGTCAGCATTCCCTTCCTTTGGGCTTTGCATTCAGCTAATACTAAGTCTCCTCCCTGAGGCAGCCACTGGGTCAGGGAATCACCTGATCTTGTTTGATTTCTCTTCATTGTCTCTATGAAAGGAGCCAAACCTGCACCTCTCCCACGCTGGAGAAACAAGCCCCCTTGACCTCCCACAGGGTGTGTGATCTGGAACAGTGAACAACCCAGAGAGGGTGCTGACAACTGTCATCTCTCCTTCCCCCAGCGCCAGTGGCCTGGTGATGCAGTGGAGATGGAGATGGCCACGGTGCTTGAACAGTGTCCCTCCATTGTCCGCTTTGGCTACCATTTTACCCAGCAAGGGCCACGAGCTCGGGCAGCCCAGGCCGTGACCCGGAACAACGAACTACGTGAGTAACTACAGACATGGTGTTGTGGGGAGGGTCAATAGGTAAAAAAGCTGGCTGAGCCAAACCGGTTTGGCTCAGTGGATAGAGCGTCAGCCTGGGGACTGAAAGTTCCCGGGTTCGATTCCGGTCAAGGGCATGTACCTTGGTTGCGGGCACACCCCCAGTAGGGGATATCCAAGAGGCAGCTGATTGATGATTCTCTCTCATCCATATTTCTAACACTCTCTGTAAAAAATCAATAAAGTATTAAAAAAAAAAAAAAAAAAAAAAAAAAGCTGGCCAATAGTCCTAAAAGCTGACTTAGTGATTAACAGCCCGGGATGCTGCCAAAGTGATATTCACATGTGAAGTGCAAATCCCGTAAGTGGTCAGAAAGTAGAAAGAGAAGTCCCCCTGCCCCAAATATATACCTGAAGAGAAGTAGAAAGGAAGGTAGACATACCTCTGTGGAAACAGAGTATTTTTGTTGTCATTTTTAATTTCGTTTTATTAATATGATATGGGCATGTTTGTTGGCCTAAGGCATTACCTCTTTACAAGTGTAGTCAAGAAGCTGGAAGGGAGACCAGCTTTGCAGAAAGCAAGAGGTGGAACAAAACTTGTTTACTCTTCCTCCTTTACAGGTCGCCAGCAAAAAAAGAGATAACACTCCCTTTGCCTTTACCATCAAGAGCTGGGAGCCCTGAATGTTAAAATCCTCATGTGTTCCCCTTTCCTGTAAATAAAGGTCCTTCTATCCACTCTGCCTGCTTCCTTTCTTGGGCTTTGGGGTGGAAATCTTGGCGCTAACCCCCAAGGGTTACTGCCAGTTCATCTGGGGATTATTTATACTCTGGGGATCAACAGGCAGGGAGGTTAAGTTACTGGGAAGGGGGGGGGGGAGCTCTCTCCCTTGGTGTTCTCCATCACCCTGCTAATGCCTCAGTCTCTTCTATTTTCACAGGATACTTAGCCTCAGCCATGTTTCCAGGTGTGGCCAGACCCCTCCCCGCTCACACACACCCCCCCCCCCCCCCGTTTCTACCCACAACCCCATCATGTGATTTGAAGGAGGAAAGGATTTTGAGTGGAGGTAGTGAAGAAGGCAGACAACATGAAGGGCAAAGACCTCTTCTGACAGACTTATTAATAGGGCACCCGGCAGCGTGCAGCTGACGCTTGGCATGACTTTGGTAGGAGGTGGGGGAGGGGTTAGAAGTATGGGCAGCTGTGTACATTGCAGGGAAGGATTGGCTGGACTGAGAACGAACACCTCTGAAATCCTGAAGTGGGACAAGGAACCAGACGTGAGGAAAGTTAGGCTCCCAGCGCCTGCTATAGTTTATTTGTGAATTCAATGGGAAAGAGAGTATCAGTCTAAGGGGAGATCAGGAGGTTCCTCCTCATCAGAATCAAACTCAACATTCTCATCTTTTACCCATCCACCTCGTCCATCTGGAATCCATCCAGAGCTAGAAACATCAGAGAAAACAGAATTGGTCAGGAAAGGTTTATTAAGTCGGTGGGACAGGAAAAAGCAGTTCAGAAGGTTTGAGAAGAGGAGGGTCACAGGAAAAAGGGGAGAGTGATTCTACACACTCACCTTCGAAGAGTGAGGTGATGATCCAGGGCTCGTCTTCTCGTGGGGCTCATCGGTGCAGGGGGTGAGACAGCTGCTGACTCCTTAGCCTGTGGGCCTGCCCCCGGCTCTGGGTCCCTACTGGGCTTCCCACTTTGGAGTTCAACGTCTGGGGGTAGCAGAGGGGAAGGTGAGACAGAGGGACGAAGAGCTTCTGGCCTGAGTAGAGAAGAATCAAAATCTGTCAAAGCAGTCAAGGGAAGGGCCATTTCTCCTGTGACTCCCAACCCCTTGAAGCAGTGTTTTCTAAATTGTGTTCATCAAGACATTCATGTGGCCCTGTCTGTTTGATGCAGTAGATAGAGCATTGGCCTGTGGACTGAAGGGTCGCAGGTTCGATTCCGGTCAAGGGCATGTACATTGGTTGCGGGCACATGCCCGGTGGGGGCTGTGCAAGAGGCAGCTGGTCAATGTTTCTCTCTCATCAACGTTTCTAGCTCTCTATCTCTCTCCCTTCCTCCTCTCTGTGAAATATCAATAAAATATATTTTTAAAATAAAAAAATAGATATATATTTATTATTATTATTATTTTTAAAGAACCACCTATGGGGGTTTGAGGGGTAGTGGGCTATGGTGGGGCAGGGAGGGTGACTGAGTACAAAGGAAAAAAAGAGAACTCATTGACATGGACAACAGTGTGGTGATAGCAGGGGGAGGAGGGTATGTGGAGGTTCAAGAGGGTATATAAGGATAAATGGAGATAAAAATTAAAAAGAAAAAAGAACCATCTATCTCCTTTTATCCCTCCCTATTGGGCTTTCCCACCCCACAGACCTGTACTTTCGTCGACAGCAACTGTTATAGTGAGGAGCTCTGTGCAGAGCATTCTGGGTGATAAGTCGAGTCTGGGTTAACAGAGGAGCCTGGGATGGAGAAGGAAAACAGTCAGAGCTTCTTTCTAGAAGCCAAAGCCCTTCAAGCCTAAGTTATGCAGTACGGTGCTCCCTGGGAACACACACTTCCGTTTCTGGATTACCTCTCCTTTGGTCTCTTCCCTCTCCAATTCAGTCTGCTGTCTTGGATTCTGCTCTACTCCTTTTCCTGACTGCTTCTTGCCATAGAAAAGCTGCAGGCCTGAGTATAAAAGCAAGAGAATTAAAAGCAAAGCACCTTGAGTCATCTGCACACATTTTATTATTTTTGTTACTTTTAAACATATATATATGATCCTTACTGGAGGATCTGACCTTCCTTTAGAGAGAGAGAGGCGGGGGGGGGGGGGGGGGGCACGACAACAACATGGATGTGAAAGAGAAACACAGATCAGTTGTCTCACAAACTCACACCTGGGATCAAACCTGAAACCTACTAGGTATGACCGGGAATGGAACCCAGAACCTTTTGGTATACTGGGACATTCCAACCAACAGAGCCACCTGGCCAGGGCTTTAAGGGCTTATTCTCCATCCCCTGTCTTCTAACAAACTTACTGGATAGATGTTTCTTGCCTGCACGGTGGGCAGTCAGCATGGCCAGAGTGTCCAGTACAGGTCGGTGGGGACATATGGCACAAGCAAAGCTGGAGAGGAGAGAAAAGATAAATAGTCCTTGGGGAGTGGGTCTCTGCCGGAGGTCCCACCCTGTCCGAGCAGTCTTTTCCAAAGCCCAACTCCCAACTATCCTAAACTCATCTCCACCACCGACATCCCTGCTCTCACTCCCCACCAACAAATCCTAGACCCTCCCGCTCTCCTCAGTAACAAACGTTTATTGAGCCTCTAATCGCAGAACCCTCAGGCTTGATCTACTCTCGCCCTCCCTCACCGTCCATCCCGTAGCATCAGCGCCTCGTCCTCTGGTATATAACTGGCCAGCAGGTCCCCCACTCTCCGCTTCTGCAAAGAGAAGGGAAAGAAGTCCGGAAAGATCAGCGGGATGGGGTGGAGGGGAAATGACAGGGACTCAAACGGACTAAAGACCATGGAGAGAACAGAGATCACAAAGCGAAGCATGGGTCACAACCCAGGACTAGTAACCCTGGCTCCCTGCCCCCCAACCATCCTCCATCTGTTGCCAGAGCAACAAAACAACCCCTTCGCGGCCTTCATGGGGCAGCGGAAGCTGCTCTCCACGCTCCCCTCTCGCGCTTACCTTGAGCACATTGAGTTGACTCCAGTCATCCCCCTCTCTCTTGAAAGACATCACAACTGTGAGCCCCAGAAATAATAAATTCTATTGCACGGACTTCGCCACTCCTTTCAGGCCACCGTAGCAAGAGTGGGGCGTCCCCTTTCCGTCCGGTCTCCTCCCGTTTGGCCTCCTGACTTCCGGGGACGGCTTCCCGGCATGCACTGCGCGGTCCCGGAAGCCCGCCTCCAGCCCACCGAGAGGGACTGCACTTCCGACGGTCCCCCGCCACCCCGCAGACGCGGGGCCTCTTGGGAAATGAAGTCTTTTCCCAAAGAACTTGCCTTCTCGCTGGGTCCGGGCCCTTGCGTCTCGTCGTATTCGAGGCATTGGGAGAAATAAGAGGTGGAGCCCGAATTTGAGGGGGTGGCTCCTCTGATGCGGAGTGGGCCTTGGAGGATCTCTGAGTGGAACGTGCACTCCAAGCTCTCCCGACCATCACGCGCTTGGTCGGCGGCGACAGCCAACCTGGGGGGTCTGATTTGTACCCGACCCTAGCGGACCAACCTAGAGACGGGGCGGAGCTGGGGTATCAGGCCCCCACCCCTCACCCCGCTCCCCCAAGAACGGGCTGCCAGATCTGGAGGCAAACTGAACTGAACACTGAGAGACAGTGCCTAGGGGTCAAGGGTCAAAGGTCAACATCGCAAGTTATAGGGGGTCGCAAGTCGGAGGGGTGTGTAAGGAGAGAGACCCAGAGACTGAGTACGCGAGAGAGCGGATTTGTGGGAAAGGCGCCTGGAGGGAGGATAAGCGAGTGGAGCGGGGTGTTTGTGCCAGGGAGACGGGTGGCTTGAGAGAGAAGACAGAAAGAGAAAGGGATCTGGTTATTTGTTCCCAGCCCCCGGGCCTGCTGTCACTATCGGTCACTTAGCCTGGCGTCTGTCCGTCTGGCAGTTGCAACCCCAGCTGCCGGCAGATTGAGGAGATGGCGTCTCCCTCTAGACAGGACCCCCTCGGGGGGTCAGGGCTGCTTCAAGGGAGCCGGGCTCGTTCGTACGGAAGCCTGGTGCAGTCTACCTGCTCCCCGGTGAGGGAGAGGCGCCTGGAGCATCAGCTGGCGCCCGGAGACACCCTGGCTGGACTAGCACTCAAATACGGGGTGACGGTGAGTCTTCCAGGATTGGGACTGGGCAACCAGTTGGAAGAGATTTTTTCCTCAGGACAATGTAGTGTCCCTTCTAGGCTATTTCCTCTGAAATTTCCCTAACGGTGTTGTGTTGTGTTGTGTTGTGTTGTCTGATCCACCTTTGTGTTTTTGTTTTCCCATTTGCACTGTCTCGCTGGGACCAATCCTGTCCACACTATCTTGGTGGAGAGGAGCAGCTCTCTTTTATTATTCTAGTCACTGTGCTAGGGGCTTTATATACATTAGCCCATTTGATCCTCACATCCCTTTGAGCATACAGTTGTTGTCCCCTTTTTACAGATGAGGAAACTGAGACTTAGATTGGTTCACCAATTTGATTAAGGTCAAATAACTAATGAGCATTAGAGTGGAAATCCAGACTTCTGTCTGATTACAAAATCTGCACTGATAGCCACATAGAAACTGTTTGAGAGTGATTAAAAATTTACAGCAAATCGTGGAGACCTGGTTTTTAGTTCTAAGTTCCTAAAGTGCCAATCTCTCCTTGTACTTTTTTCCTCCTCAATTCTCTACCTTCTTCTTTCCAAGGTACTCTCTACACCAAGCTTTTCAGGTCATGCATAGGGTATATACGCTAGTTGTAAAAATATACTGCACTAAAGTTGATGAAGGTTTGATTATTTTTACACATCCTGTTGAATTTAGGCAACATTTTTATGCTTGGTAGGTTTAATGCACTCTGGTAGCCATTTTAGGAAGTACAGACATAAATAAAATGTATAGTTGTTCTCATATAATTTACAGTCTAGTGAGAAATAAACAGGGACAAATAATGATGGTAGATGAGAATGTGGTGAGTTTGTAGAAGTATTAACAAAGGATGGTACGAAACTGGTTTGGCTCAGTGGTAGAGCATCGGTCTGCAGACTGAAAGGTCCCAGGTTCAATTCCAGTCAAGGGCATGTACCTTGGTTGCAGGTACATCCCCGGTAGGGGGTGTGCAGGAGGCAGCTGGTCGATGTTTCTCTCTCATCGATGTTTCTAGCTCTCTATCTCTCTCCCTTCCTCTCTGTAAAAAATCAATAAAATATATATATTTTTAAAAAGGATGGAAAATTAGAAAAAACTTTTTATCTGGAAGGGAGTAAGATATCAGTGCAAATTTCAAGGGAGCCATCATGAAAGGCTTTGAAATACTTACAAATTCCTTCCTCTATGCTTCTCTTTACAAATGCACACAATCCAATTGTTTATACCTTTTACATCTTTTTCTTTCCAATAGCCTATATTCTCCTTTAAGAATTTTTTCTTCAAAAAATTATTTGTTTGTTTTAGAGAGAGAGAGGAAAGGAGAGAGAGAAACATCAATTTTGTTGTTCCACTTATTTATGCATTCATTGGTTGATTCTTTTATGTGCCCTGACTGGATTTTAACCCATGACTTTGGTGTACCGGTTGAGCTGATGCTATTTTTTTTTTTTTTCTAGATAATATCATAGGTCCCTTCTAGCTCTAAGGTATTATATTACTGTAAATTTTCTGTGGCCTTGTTATTTCCTAAAAGTACCATATAAGAGGACATATTCCATTTTTTTGTTTTTATTTTTAAAAATATATTGATTATCTTGCCCAGATTGTGGGCTTGATACCCAGTAATGGGCATGCAGGAGGCAGCTGATAAATTAATCTCTCTCATCATTGATATTTCTATCTCTCCCTTTCCCTTCCTCTCTGAAATAAAAGTATTTTTTTAATTAATGTCATCAAAGCACTTGGCAAAGTAAAAGTACAGAACTGTAAGCCAATTTTAACTTTTTTTATTGTTTAGATTAATCTGGTTTTATTTTTAAGCACATTATAGTATAAGACTTTATTGGTCAAGATTTTATAATAGTTTTTGCCCGGGGCAGAAACTGCTTAGATATTTGACAGACATAAGAAATATGATTTCCTAAACTGATGCCAATATGGGATGAATTTTTAGTACAACTGGCTGCCTGGCCTCTGATGATAAAATACTAGCATATTGTATCTGTGATTTTTCTATTTTATGATCTAGCTTGTTCAGTCATAAAGCATTAATGAGCTCTGCTGGGTGCCAAGTTTGTGTGATGTTGAGGAGCACCTTAGAGACACAGAGACAGCACGTCACCATTCCTGCCTCTAAGGCAGTGTTTTTCAACCTTTTTTGGGCAAAGGCATACTTGTTTCATGAAAAAAATCACGAGGCACACCACCATTAGAAAATGTTAAAAAATTTAACTCTGTGCCTATATTGACTATATATAAAGTAATTCTCTTGAATAGGAATCAAATAAACACAAAGAAAGTATTTTATAATTACTTTATTATGAAATATTAAGTAAACAAAATAGTGAAAAATTATAAAATTCTTGTCTTGTCTGCACCTACGGCACACCAGGCAACATCTCGCGGCACACTGACTAGTGTGCCACGGAACAGCGGTTGAAAAACGCTGCTCTAAGGGACTCACAGAGTTTGAGCAATATAACAGGGCAGGCATTATTACAATACTGATAGTATGGGAGCCCTAAGGAAGGTAACACAAAGGAAGTGAGAGTTGATAAGTAGAAATTTTTCAGGCAGAAAAGGGGGTAGTGGAGAAACCTATCAGGCAGATAAAGACACAAAAGTGTGAAAGATCATGATATACTAAAAGGCCCGATACACGAAATTCCTGCACAAAATTCGTGCAAGGGGCTCAGCCTTCACAGCCTCGACTGCCTTGCGGCCATGCCCACTGGTTGTTCTGGAAGGTCATTCCGCCATCTGGTCTAATTAGCATATTAGCTCTTTATTATATAGAATTCAAAGAAAAAGGAGAAGTTTAGGATAACAAAATATATAGATGGCAAAAGAAGAGAGGTGAAGCTAAATGTTATGGGGGCTAGACTGAGGATGCTCTTGAATGATAATTTGTATTTTAACTGAGCCAATGAGGAAGTTTATAAGTAAGGTAATGAATTTATCAGGTTGATTTTTTGAGAAAGATAGATGTGCCCTGGCTCATGTGGCTCAGTTGATTGGAGTGTCATCCTGGGCACCAGAAGGTCTCTGGTTTGATTCCCAGTCAGCTCATACCCGATCCCTGGTGGAGCCACCTGTGGGAGGCAACCCATCGATGTATCTCTCTCACATTGATATTTCTGTCTCTCTCTCTCCCTTCCTCCCTCTCTTAAAAAAAAAAAAAAAAAAAAAAGAAGAAGAAGAAGAAGAAGATAGATGTCAGCAAGGTGAAGGATGAGTAGAAAGACCCATTAAACTTTTAGAACTCAGATGAGAAGTATTAAGAGTTGTTCTAAAGTGCCGAAACCGGTTTGGCTCAGTGGATAGAGCATAGGCCTGTGGACTGAAAGGTCCCAGATTCGATTCCGGTCAAGAGCATGTACCATGGTTGTGGGCACATCCCGGGGAGTGGGGGGGGTGTGTGTGCAAGAGGCAGCTGATCGATGTCTCTCTCTGTCATCGATGTTTCTAACTCTCTATTCCTCTCCCTTCCTCTTTGTAAAAAATCAATAAAATATATATTTTTTTAAAAAGAGTTGTTCTAAAGTGATGGCAGAAGATGGAAGATTAGACCAGATATGAGAGTTTTGTAGCACTTTTGTTGACCACGTGGGAATGGGTGATGAAAGAAAAGTATGAGTTAAGGGTGACATTGATATTTCTACCTTGGGAGACAGGTAGATAGATTGTGATGCCAGTCACCATGTTCAGTGATAAATAAGTAAGTACTAAGTAAATATTTGGTCAGTGAAATTAATATTGTAGTGTGGAATATTCCCAGAAGGAGTAAAAGGGTCCTAGCGCTGTCATTAGATAATCTTAGGCAAGTAACTTAATCTCCCTGAGCCTCAGTTCCTTCATTTTTAATAGAAGTTCTCAAAGTGAGATCCAGAGACCCTTAGGGGTCCCTGAAACCCTTCAGGGATCCACAAGGTCAAAACTGTTTTCATAGTAATAATGAGATTTTATTTCCCTTTTACATTCTCATTCTCATGAGTTTACATTTTCAAGAGGTTACATCACATGTGAATCAGAGGAATTTCGTTTTATTGTAATCAGCTAGGAACAGTATATACAGCGAACTGAAACTATTGAAATACAGTTTTAATTAAATTTAAAAACTGAGCTGAAACCGGTTTGGCTCAGTGGATAGAGCGTCGGTCTGTGGACTGAAGGGTCCCAGGTTCGATTCCGGTCAAGGGCATGTATGTATATTGGTTGCGGGCAAATCCCCGGTGGGGGGTGTGCAAGAGGCAGCTGGTCGATGTTTCTCATCGACGTTTCTAGCTCTCTATCCCTCTCTCCTCCTCTCTGTAAAAAAATCAATAAAACATATATTTTTAAAAAAATAAAATAAAAAATAAATAAATAAATTTAAAAACTGAGTTAAAAAAAAAGAAGAAGAGGCTACATCATGTGACATTTAAAGAGACTGAATGTAGAGACCGATGTGAGAATCCTGTTGTATTCTGTTAAATCAGATATTAAGGTGATTTGCAAAAATGTAAAACAGTGCCTCTCCTTGCTACATTTTTGTTGTTTTGGAAAATATAGTTATTTTTCTTAAAATATTTATGTTAACATGTAATAGGTTTATTATTTTTAAATAAGTACATGTTCTTAAATGTTTTGAGTTTTTCTTTTTAGAGAGGGGAAGGAAAGGGAGAGACAAAGAGAAACACTGATGTGAGTGAGACACATCAGTTTGTTGCCTCCTATATGCCCCTAACCAGGGCCCAGATTCTGTAACCGAGGTATGTGCCTTTGACCGGAATTGAACGTGGGACCCTTCAGTCCACAAGCTGATGCTCTGTCTACTCAGCCAAACCAGCGAGGGCATAAACTTTTTCAGTTTTAATTTAAAGTAATTTAAATATTGATAGCCATCATCCACATAAAGAAAAGCCTTTTTCCTCAATATTTTTTAAAAATCCTCACCCCTCGCTGAAACCGGTTTGGCTCAGTGGATAGAGCGTCAGTCTGTGGACTGAGGGGTCCCAGGTTCGATTCCGGTCAAGGGCATGTACATTGCTTGCGGGCACATTCCCAGTGAAGGGTGTGCAGGAGGCAGCTGGTTGATGTTTCTCTCTCATCGAAGTTTCTAGCTCCCTATCCCTCCTCCTTCCTCTCTGTGAAAAATCAATAAAATATATTTTAAAAAATAAATAAAAATCCTCACCCTTGCCGAGACTGGTTTGGCTCAGTGGATAGAGCATCGGCCTGTGGACTGAAAGGTCCCGGGTTCAATTCCGGTCAAGGGCATGTACCTTGGTTGCAGGGACATCCCCAGTAGGGGGTGTGCAAGAGGCAGCTGGTCGATGTTTCTCTCTCATCGACGTTTCTAACTCTCTATCCCTCTCAATTACTCTCTGTGTAAAATCAATAAAATATATATTTTTAAAAATCCTCACCCAAGGATATATTTATTGAGGGAGAGAGAAACACTGATGGACTGCGTCCAGTATGCACCCCAATCCGGGGTTGAACTCGCAACCTAGGTATGTTCCCTGACCTGAAATTGAATCCGCAACATTTTGGTGAACAGGATATTGTTCCAGCCAATAGAGCCACTCAGGCATGGGTTTCCTCAATAATTTTTTAAAATGTAAAAGGGTCCAATGACCAAAAGATATGAAAACCACTGATCAATAAAATAGGACTAAGATCAGCCCCTTGTACTTTAGCTTGGTTGCTATAGGGTCTCTTGATAAGAGATAAGACTCTGTACAATCCCTTAAAAATATATATGTGTGTGTGTATATATATATATATATGATCCTTTTCCGAGAATATGTTTTTCACTGATTAGAGAGAGAGGAAGGGAGAGGAGAAGAAATGGGGAGAGAAACATTGGTGTGAGAGAAACATCGATGGGCTGCCTACTGTTTGTGCCCCAACCGGGGATTGAACCTGTGACCCTCCAACCAACTGAGCCACATCCACCACGGATACACAGTCAATTTAAAGGCATTAGATGCTATACAAATATAACATTTATCTTTATTACTGTCATTAATTGTGGTGACTATTTTTTTTAAGATGGAACAGATTAAACGTGCAAACCGCCTTTATACTAATGACTCCATCTTCCTGAAGAAAACCCTCTACATCCCCATCCTGACAGAGCCCAGAGACCTGTTCAATGGTTTGGATTCTGAGGAAGAGAAAGATGGAGAGGAAGAGATGCAGCCAAGTAAGGCTGAAGTTCGGCCACACTCAGCTGAGAGGAAGAAACAGGAAGCAGGTTCAGGACGGGCCAATGGCGAAGTCCTTTCCACACCTGGCCAGGAACCCCCCGCTCCCACCCATGACCTCTCTGCCTCTGACTTCCTGAAGAAGCTCGACTCACAGATCAGCCTGTCAAAGAAGGCTGCTGCCCAGAAGCTGAGAAAAGGGGAAAGTGGGTGAGTCTTAATGGTTCCTTTTCAGCCCTTTCACAGACTTCTCCCCTCTTCCAGCCTTACCTTACCAGAAACACAAGGAAGTAAGCACAGTGTCTGCAGAAGCAAGGGGAATCCTCTCCTCCAGTGGCCCCAAGACGATGAGCAGAGCCAGTGGCTGCTGGAAAGGGCAGAGGCAGTGGGAAAGGGTTTTGTGTTCTCACTGGAGTAAAATAGTTGACTGTGCTTACTGCTTTGATGATCCATGAAGGAGCAGTAGGGTAGGATTTATCCAGAGGGCATTGAGACTCCATCTAGACCAGCTTGGATGTATTAGGAAAGGAGGACAGCATCCCACGTACCTCATCACTTGGCCTGTTCTCAGGTTCTTCCCTGGACCTGTCACTCTTTCTCCCCTTTCCTCGTTTGCAGGGTACCTGGGGAGGAGTCAGGCCATCACCGCAGCTCCCCTCGGATGCAGCAGCGAGCAGTCCTAGGTCCCGTGCCACTGACCCGGACCTCTCGAATCCAGACACTTCGGGACCAGGAGGATGAAATCTTCAAACTCTGATGTTTCCAGAACTGATTGAGAGAAGCAAGATGATGAAGGAGCAACTTGAGGGGGAGAGGAGCCTGAGGTGAGGCTCAAGAACAAGGCTTCCCAGCCCACCTCCCTCCCTCCAGCCCAGCCTTGTGTCTCCTCAAGAGCTCCTTGGCCTGAGGCAGTTTGATTGGCAAGAGTCGGGGGCGGGGAATAGACCCCTTCTCAGTTCTTGGGTTGAATCTAGAGTTGTCCTTTAGATTCAAAGGTTCTTTTTATATCCCTGCTGCCTTTCCCCGTTCCTTGGCCTTAGAACTGGAGGCAGGTGACTCCCTCAGGCCCTAACTTCTTCCCCATCTCCAATATATTACCTAATTTATTTGGTGCTATATTGAAGTAATATTTATTTGCGGTATTTTGTTCTTTCCCACCCTTAGCTGAAAAATGGGATTTTTATAGCCATGGTGTGATGTAAACCCAGGAACAGTGAGCCAGTAACTGCTGGCTGCCCACCTTTTTAGCCAAGCATGTTATTGAGGATGAGGCCATCAGTGATCTGACCCTCAACGTAAAGAATTTGGGTTTAGTCACAGTGCTGTAGGTACCGGAATTGAATAGTAAAAAGAAAAGAAAAAATAGTCACTGCACCTCAATTCAGCCTGTGTGCGGCTAAGGGATGGAAGAGTTCGAAGAGGAGAACAGTTGTGGGAGTATAACAACAGTTCCTATTTGTTATCCTCCCTCCCCATCAGAGTCTATCGCTGTATGCCTTGCTCCTCACTTAATATTTATTTGCAGTTTGTAGCACTGATCTGTGGTACAGGTTTTAAACAGACGTAGGCAAGGGAACCCCAGTGATACTGAAATACGCCTGAATGTCCTGTGTGGAAAGGCGAGTGGTGAGATAAATGGTGTTTATATGCCATCGTGATGATCATAAGATATAAGACACTGAAACTGGAGAGATTAAACACTGAGCCCTGTGCGTGTTTCAGTAGTTTTATTTCTCCTGTGAGACTCCCCCTGCCCTCTTCCTGTGCTCTGGAACAGCCTCCGGTGTCTGTCCTGGCGCTGCCTGGAACTGCAGGTCTAGGATGTCTCAAAGCAACCCCTTCCCCCCTCTTGTTTTTGTGTCCCCAGAAGGGTTCCCGGGGGAAGGGGCTTTCCTGTTTCAAACATCCCTTATGGAGGAAATAAGAGATCCAAATTTCACTTCCTCTTTGCAGGCAGTTTTGTTTCCTGCCAGGGGCTGGAGTGGGAGAGAGGCCTCATTGCTTCTCCTCCTCCAGTCATTTGGGGGTGGGGGTTGGAGTCAAAAGCACTCTTGAGGAAGACTGAGGACTGAAAAGCCTTAGTGCAGATGAGCAGAGTTAGAAAGCCCACTCATTGTCTGTTGCGTTCTCAACCAGCCCTTTAGTCAGGATCAAGGTGGAATGTGCTGAGTTCAGAGTTTTCCCTCATCCAGCAACTTCCTGAGCCCATCGCAGATCTTGCCGCGGTGCTGAGTGAAGTCAGGCCCGTAGAGGGCCGTGAGCAGGCCCGAGTCAGAGAAGTGATCGAACACGTGGCGGATGCGGCCGTGTGACTTGGGCGTGAGGTGGTGCTGCACCAGCGCCAGCAGGATGTCCCGGCACTCGGTCAGCAGGTTGGTCAGCACCGCGGCCTCGAAAGTGAAGTCCACCTCGCCAAAGCTGAGTGCCGTCATGGCGCCCTGCCGCAGTTTTTGGCGAAAGCTGGCAGCCAGGGCCAGCTCACTGGGGCCAAAGCACCCGCTGCGGTGCAGCACGGCCACCTTGACAGCCACCTTGACGAGGTCCTTGATGACCCGCTGGGCTTGGGACCGGCTTTGTGTGTACTCTTTGGACACACGGTAGAGCTCATCTAGCACCTCACTGCTTGTCTCATCGATGAAGAGATGAGCCACAGACCGACCTGCCATCTTACTCAGTAGCTTCTTCTCCGCTTGCATTGCCAGATTCTTTGAGCTGAAGGACTCCATGGCTCCTGGAGAAGGAGGTGGGGTTGGGTGGTATGCGGTCAGTCAGAAGAAAGGCCACAGGCTTCCTTAGAAAGAGAGAAATAGCTTTTCCCCTTTTCTGTCTCTTATTTGGTTTCTATCTCATCAGCATCTTTGCTTGTCAGATTTCCCCTCCCCCCATGCTTTGTTCCTATTTTTCCCTTTACTACTGTGAGAAATATTTTTTTTGTTTTTAAATATATTTTTATTGATTTCAGAGAGGAAGGGAGAGGGGGAGAGATAGAAACATCATTGATGAGAAAGAATCATTGATAGGCTAGTCCCTGCACACCCCAAACTGGGGATTGAGTCCGCAACCCAGGCATGTGCCCTTGACTGGAATCGAACCTCGGACCCTTCAGTCCACACTCAGGCTGATACTCTATGCACTGAGCCAAACCAGCCAGGGCTGTAAGAAATCTTGATCTCTAAGGCAGTCTAGAGGAGCAGAATAGCTTTGGCTGGAGGAATGAGGCTAGCCCACCTCAAGGTAAGTTTTAAGGAAAAGCAGGGTATTTCTGCTATAGGGGAGAAGGTAAGGCTTACCTGGCAAATAATTCTCCCAGCTACCATTTTGGACACTGACCATGTGCATATATCTGTGAGGTGTAGGTATTTCTATCCTTGTTTATAGCTGAGCAAACGGAGGCTTAATTAAATAATTTACCCAAGGGCAAACACTACTGTTTTTCTGACTCCAAAACCCCATGTCAACCAGTGCGATATGCTGCCTTTACATAAGTGAGAAATGTGGGGCCGCAGGAGTCTTGATAAAAATAATACCTAACATGTATTGAGAACCTACTATGTGCCAAGTGCTTTATGTGTATTATTTCAGTCTTCCCAACCCTTTGTAAGATAGACATCCCCATTTTACAATGAGAAAACTGAAGCCAAGTGAAATTAAGCAACTTGGCCAAAGTCACTAGCAAATGATAAAAAGGGGTTTCAAACTGAATAATCCATGCCCTAACTGTTTTGGCTCGGTGGATAGAGAGACAGCCTGTGGACTGAAGGGTCCCAAATTAGATTCTGGTCAAGGGCATGTACCTTGGTTGCTGGCACATCCCCAGTAGGGGGTGTGCAGAAGGCAGCTAATCAATGTTTCTCATTGATGTTTCTTTATTTTTTTTAATATATTTTATTGATTTTTTACAGAGAGGAAGGGAGAGGGAAAGAGAGTTAGAAACATGGATGAGAGAGAAACATCTATCAGCCGCTTCCTGCACACCTCCCACTGGGGATTTGCCCACAACCAAGGCACATGCCCTTGACCGGAATCGAACCCGGGACCCTTCAGTCCACAGGCCAACACTCTATCCTCTGAGTCAAACCAGTTTCAGCTTATTGATGTGTCTAACTCTATCTCTCTCCTTTCCTCTCTGTAAAAAAAAAATCAATAAAATATATTTAAAAAATAATAATAATCCAAAGAAACTTCCTTCCCTGGAATACTGTCAAGGCTGTTGAAGTACACGAAGGAATCATGAGAAGCAAGCACCTCAGTGGGGCAAGCAGTACTAGAGGTATAAGTCTTCCGCTGGGCCTGAGCTAGGACCCTCCTGGTGACCCATCAGCTGCAAATGTCCAGGGTGCTCTCGCCATGGCTTTGCCTACGGTTGTTCTGGTTGTTTTGCTTCTTACTTCCCCCTCCCCTGATCTGCAGGATGTGGCTGTGACCGCAGTGAGGAGCAGCCTCACCCTCTCCCCCAAACCAATGTGGGAGTCTGAAGAGTCAGGCAGATGGGTACGTGGGGTTCTGGGGGGTTTCTTCCCCAGCTGAGTTAGTTCAAGGGGAACCAGGAGCCTCGCTTTGTTCCTGCCTTTGTCGGGGGCTTTCTGAACCCAGGTTTCACGGCCGGGAGAGTAGATTGCTCCATTTGGGCCTTCCTTCCTCTTTGGCCTTCCGTTACCCTGCTCTCAGTTGCCCCCGTTGCCATCTCACATCTGGTCCACTGTCCTCTCCCTCTTGCCCTGTTTCTGTCTCACTTTTTCTCTTGCTGGGACCTGCCCTATGATCCTCTGATCATGTTCCTCCTCTGGCCCTTACATTTGCCTCCATGTCTCCCAAGATTGCCTTGCATCTCTCAGTACTCTGTCAGACACACACACCTCCACTCCCAGGTCTCAGTCCTGCCCCAAACCATCCCAAACCATGTCTGCCTTGCCCCAGGAAAAACTGAGCGGGACCCCTCCACTGGAGACCCAAGAATACTACCATCAGGTTAGTCTCACAATCTGGAAAGATCAGGCTGACAGAGCAAGGACTCTCTGTCACCTTCACCCCCCAAAGCCTACCAGTCCCTTGCCAGTCATTGCCAGTCGCTCACCTGCTGTGCGCTGGGTGCCAGTCTTGCCTTGGATGTTCCGGAAGGCTGACTGAATGGAGAAGCTCCAAAGTGAGAGGCCCTTTGGCCTGGCCCCACCCCTCAAGCCCCGCCTACCTACTCTCGGCTCAACCTCCGGTTCTTCATACAGTCATCAAGAAAGTTTATGGCCCAAGAGCCTCCTTGAAGTGTGACATAGGTCAAAAGGAATAGCACTCTGTAGGAAATAGTCTTGATTCTTGTTTGTTTGTTTTTCCTAATATATATTTTATTGATTTCAGAGAAGAAGGGAGAGAGAGATGGAAACATCATGATGAGAATCACTGATTGGCTGCTTCCTGCATGTCCCCACACTGGGGATCAAGCCCACAACTCAAGCGTGTGCCCTTGACTAGAATTAAACCTGGAACCCTTCAACCTGCAAACTGATGCTCTATCCATGGAGCCAAACTGGCTAGTCTTGATTCTTTGAGGTGATAAGGAGGGATTACATAAACCCTGTCCTCAAATTGTTCACTTGCTGCTTTGCTTGCTGCCCATTTCCTTGAAATCTTCTTGTGAAGTACAAATGGCTGGAGTGTGTGGTCAATGGAGAATGTTCTGAAGATTGAACTGAACTTAAATTGGAGATTCCAGAGGCAAGCCAGAGACTCAACAGACTTGAGTGTTCCTGGAGTCTCCAGGGAAGGGTGGAACCAAGGAGCAATGTTATCAAGAGCATATGCTTCCAGCGTCTGGCTGAGTTAGGTTGCCACAGACTGTCCCCACTCTTAATACTACTTGCAAGAGTAAGGTGCTAGGGCCAGGCTGCCAAACCAGATCTGACCAGCAGGTGTCAGCACAGGATCGAACCACTGGAAGAAACAAGCCTACCATGTACTTTGTAGCTGCTAAAGAAATGTTATTTATTTATTTATTTATTTATTTATTTTAATATATTTTATTGATTTTTTTACAGAGAGGAAGAGAGAGGGATAGAGAGTTAGAAACATCGATGAGAGAATCATCTGTCAGCTGCCTCCTGCACACCCCCCACCGGGGATGTGCTCTCAACCAAGGTACATGCCCTTGACCAGAATTGAACCCGGGACCTTCCAGTCCGCAGGCTGACGCTCTATCCACTGAGCCAAACCAGTTTCGGCTGCTAAAGAGATTTTAAAAATGAAGGGCCCAGCCAGCATTGCTCAGTGGTTGAGCCTTGACCCATGAAGCAAGAGGTCACTGTTGGATTCCAGCTCAGAGAACAGGCCTGGTTGCAGGCTTGATCCTCAGTGTGGGGCGTGGAGGAGGCACCCAGTCAATGATTCTTTCCCATTATTGATGTTTCTATTCCTTTCTTCCTCTCCCTCTCTGAAATCAATTTTTTTTTAAATTTTAAATGAAGGAAAGTCAGAGTTCCTAAATGAGGCAAAAGTATTTACCATAAAAAATCATGCAACCAGCCCTAACCGGTTTTGCTCAGTGGATAGAGTGTCTGCCTGTAGACTGAAGGGTCCCAGGTTCAATTCCAGTCAAGGGCAGGTACCTTGATTGTAAGCATATTCCCAGTGGGGAGTGTGCAGGAGGCAGCTGATGGATGTTTCTCATCAATGTTTCTAACTATCCCTCTTCCTTTCTTTTTGTTGGGAAAAAAAAGAAAAAA